TCTGTACAGTGAGTTCAAGCCTGCAGTCCGTTGCCCTCACTCGACATCAGCCATGAAATGAAAAACTCAAGTAACTGCAAGATCATTGCACGATTTGGAATCGCCATGTGGTATTCCTGGGCAGGTTCTGATCGCGGTTTGTACATAGAATGGAAGTGTAGTCGTGCAGGCATGCCTGGTGCTCGCAGACGAATCACGAAACCTCGGGGCTGGTCATTGAGCGCACATACACTTGTTGACAATGTCCACTCACTCATCCGAAATCTTTTGACCTTTGCGACGCAGCCATTGCCCCTGCCGCTTGCACTGTCATTGTGGTGCGGAAAGCATAGGATTAAAGCCAGACTTGCGCAGTACTGCTACATCAGTGGCGGAAAGCTTGCCTACTTGCCGTACATGATAGCCGATCAAGATCATCCGGTCACCGGCCCACGGAATCGTTGCATACTTGAGTCCCATAGGTGTCCAGGAGCTCCTTCTTTGGTCAGAAAGATGGATCCCTCCTCATGCTGCACCCATAGTTCTCCTCCATTGAATCGAGAAAACGGTATTACAAGATTCCAGCTCCCCACCTCATTATGACTGTCACGATGAGGCTTGGACAAGACATTTCTTGCCAGAGTGCAGGAACTAAACTGGAAAGATTGATCCACGCTTCGTACGACATGAGCCAGTAGGCTGCTCACCTGCGGGTAGGTGCGCTGGTTCCTAGTGAGGCCACCGTGAGGACCGCGAGCCCAAGCACCCGTCATGAAAGTTTTGGGCCTCGGCGTAAGGCTAGGCTGTGTCCACCTCATCTTTCGGTCCTCTGGCAATGCTTGCATGATCTCGTGCAGCTGCTGCCAAGTGACCTCACCCTGTGCGAAACAATGTCTCGCCAAGGTTTCGGCCTGGTGTTCATCTTCCTGTAGCGCCGCGCCATTACGGGGAGCCTGAGATCATCTCTGTTTCGGAATCCGAAGAAACCACCATTGGGACACCTAAGCTGGGGTCATCCTCATTTCCAAGCTTCTCCTCCTCTGCCTGGGTAGTTGGATCCACTGCTTTACCCGTGTCGCTGTTGAAAAAGCGATGCAGACCATCACGGCGAGGCTTGGCCTTCACCTTTTTAGAGCGGAAGAACGCATGCAGTCCCCTCATTGTGGTTGCACTTTCACAGGCTCAACCCATTCGCACGATGCTGAGCCCGAGCACGGCCATGTAGTCATGGAAAGCTCGCGAACACATGTATTTGGAGGCAACTCAAACCACGGCGCAGTAGATGCCGAGGATGGAGCGTAAGTGAGCCGATTTCCAGGGAGATATGGGCCTCGGCATGCACGGATCTCGCTGTTCTGCAAAATCATCTAGCAGCTAGGCCATCCTTGTGTGACATCGAACTTTTCAGACTGCTCCTTCGGCATGCCTTGTGACTGGGAAGGTCCCTCAACGGCTGGCGCAGCTTTTGTGGCCAACCGGCAAAATGAGAGAAACGTTCACTGAGTGGGGCAGTCATCCGTCCAGCTGTACGCCGACTTCCAGACACTTACCCCCGGGCTGAAGATTGTCCCCTTGTTCTGTCAAAACACTCGACGCCGCACCGACAGTGCCAAGCGCGTCGATCCACTGCCCGAGTCTGGTCCATCCAGGGCTTGCACCCGACTACATATAGCCGAGGAGGCGGCTAATCTGGTTTGCCAGCTGGCTCCGACTGCTCCTCTCCTTCTTGATTTCAATGCCACAGACCATTGTGGATCCACAGTGGCACAGCTGAGTCATGTCAGCACACAGCTGGAGCCCGCTTTCATTATGCAGCGAAAACTGCAATAGGAATGCCACCGTTCCTTCCTGCATCTGCTCCGCCAGCGGACTTGTAGGATGGAATCGGAGCAAGGCCTCCACCGTGTTGCTCCTTTGCATCATCGACTGCAGCACCGTTAGCACGTCCTCGTAGGAGATCACCGAGGTTTCCTCGTCCTTGACATTTCGCTTGAGCTTGGGGTCCCAGCGTAGGCGCTGAAAGTCCTCGCCCTTCAACCATCCAAGCTTCTCCATGCTGGTTCGGCGCTGCGCATCGTTGCGCAAAAGCGTCAACCTGTCGTGCATCTCCTTGACCAGGCAGCTGAAGAGGATGTTGCGCATGGGTCGCCTCACCTTCTCCCGGCTTTCATCTCGTAGCTTTTGCCATGCCGTTTTGGCTGCAAACAAGGACGGCACCAAGCTGCCAGGGGATCCCTGTCCGTACGAACAACACGAAGGAGCTCTCGGCCCGCCACATGTTCACCGAGTCCTCGTGTCGAAGGCAAAGCTTGGCCAGCTGATTTACTAGCGTAGCGCGGCCAGCTCATCTTCCTCCTCCTTCTTCCAGTTGCCCCACTTTCCTGAGCCCCACTGGCCCTGGTCGCGGTACCTTTGGTTGTATCCTCCTCCACCATTGCCACCACCGCCTCTTCCCTGTTGACCATAGCCCTTGGAGCCTTGTCCTCGTCCATGGGAGCCCTGGTGACCCTGGCCTTGGTCCTTGTCATCCTTGTCCTCCACGTCGCCTTTGCCTCCACCCTCACTTCCAGTGGCCTCCGGTCCTTTGGAGTCGCCTTTGCCCTCAGGTTTGTGCAATTTCGCAGATCTGTCCTTGTCCAAGGCGTCCTCCGCGGCTCCCGTTGTCTCCGTGGGGGGCGCCTGCTTAAAGGCCTGCCAAATCCTCAATTCCTCCTCCTGCTCCATGGCAACGTCCAGCTGGTCCGCCATCCTTTCCAAGGATCTTGATCTAGTTCCCTGCGTCGGGGACGGGTCCTCTTTTGAGCCAGACTGCATAGATCCCCCTACGAAGCTCCGGTCCAGGTTCGCAGGGCACTGCAACCGTAGAATCATCAGTCAGCCACCAGCTTCCCTCCGCTCTGAGTACCGAACGGTAGTGGCCAGAGTCGGGACTGTTTCCATAGTGAACCAGACCTGCCACTGCGTGAAAATCTTCCCAATGACAATCAACACCGCTCGTGAAAATAGGCAGCCGCACTTGCTGATGGAACCGTACCTGAACGTGGGACTTGCCACGATGTGGGAACCTGCCCAGCTGCACCACTACTCTTTGGGGCACCGATACTAGACCAGTTGTGTGTGCCTGGTCGGACCACGCGCTCACAAGCTCTTGAAGATCACACTGACAGTTGGGCAGGTCCATAAACAGCATTCCGCCGCCAGCGTCAGTAACCTTGTGAACTCCGCGACCCATAACTCTCTCCTCCCAGAATACCGGCACATAACCGGCCTTGTTCAGCACGTATTGAGTGAACTCAGCCGCATCCCTCTGCCTATTGTCCAGACTCCATCCAGCAAACAGATTACGCAGGCCAAAGTGCGTGGACAAAGTGATCTCTGTGTCCTGAGCGCCCAGCACAATGTCTTGTAGGAGCTGAAGACCTCTCGGCACATCAGTACCTTGTAGTGCATGAACCATAGCAATCGTACCAGCATTCATGTAGCACAGGTTGTGTGGATTACGAAGTCTCACCCGCATTATACTCTCCTCGTGCTGCTCCGGGCCTCGTATAGTTGAGGCTTCTGCTGCCATCGCCGGTACCTGTTCAGGCTGAGGAGGACAGTGAGTGGTGGTAGAGGTCGTGAGTGCATCATTTTCTTGAAGTCGCGTCTGAGGCACCAACTCCCCACGATTGTCGGGCTTGCCTTCTACTTTCTGGCACAGGAGAGCAAGAATGCCTGTGCGTTCTTTGGTCTTATATTGGGGTTCCTTCTCCCGCTGCTTGATCACTGGCCCTCGCCTTGCATGTTGCTGCTGCACAAGTACACCATCCGCATGGAGTTTTCGAGCGGCCAATACCTGGAACATCGGCGAGCACTTGGTGGCATGATGAGTTGAGTCCGTAGTTCCATGTTTAGCTGTGCTCCCGCAATATTGACAAGGCCTCTTGAAGGATGCCTTCAGGCTGCGTGCACTGGAGGAAGCATCCTGCTGAGTTAGACTCCACGCTTCTTGGTGAGTGGATTGCCAGTGTATCTTCACATGACCGGTGACCTTGATGATCTGCGCGCACAAGATACAACGGGTTGTGAACTTGGCTATCTCCTCGGGGTATTGTGGTAACTGAGCAAGTGGGCACTGCAGCAGCTGATCCGGGATGTCATTGGGGGTGGCTTCCAATGAACTCGCCGTGTCCGGCGCCTTGGGTGGAGACACTTTCTCCTCCTCCAGCACCTGTTGCATGACATGGTCAATGTTCTGATTGCGCGCCGCCGCCTCCTTGAGTCTGGGACACCGGCCTTCCGTGATGTGCCTCTCCATTGTAGCCCAATCATAAAGTTTCTGCCTGCACAGACGACAACGCGGAAGTCCGAACAACGTATGTTGGCGCCTGTCGAACGATGAACGGGCATCCTTATGAACCTGCGCGTGTCTCGCTGTGATCTGGGCATCCAGGCTCTTCTGATTATGAAACTCCAGACCGCACTGTGGGCAAGTTACCTCATCCCCTATACCCGATCGACCTCTACCAATCCCGCCTTGGGCAAGTGCTCCAGCCTCTGTAGCTCGTCCATAACCTCCCGTAGTCGTTGCTGCGCGGGAGCGCGTAGTTCATGGGATTGATGGCTCTCACTGTTAAGCGAGCGTTCCTTGCCTTGCAGAAGAGAAAGAAGCTGCTTCGTAGGATGTAGCTCGGCGCGTTCCAGCACCTCCTGGTTGGAGACCCCATGCTCATAGACACGAACTATTTTGCGCATCATTCTGGATACAGTCGACTGCACCGTTCTCAAGCTGGAAGCGGTAACCCCTACTCCGATAATCCCGTAGAGCAGTGCCGGCATGACACAAGCCTGGAAGATCCGCCTTTTCTGCCTGGTACTGAATGAGGAGGTCGTGCGCAACATCGGCCTGAGCTTGGTGTAATTGGCCCATGCTTTCGTAGCCCTGGCTTGCACGGTCTGCGCTTCCATCGGGCCGTACGACAATAATATTGCACCCAAATACTCCATTTTCTCAGTCACTGGCAGCCTAACCTCATGCCCTGTGCAAGGATCCGTGCCCAGCACCAGAACATATTTATCCCTATGCCACTTGACATATTTCTGCTTG